TCCTCAGAGGCAGTAGCAACTGCTGTGCGATGAAATTGACGATAAGAGCTCCCCTTAAAAGAGCCACCGCGAGAGGAGTGACTGGTGGAAGATGACCAGGATGGATTGCGAAAACAATCCTACTGCAGATGACCAGGACCAAGTTTGTTGCAATAACGGCAGGAGCGGATTGGGCAATGAACTAAAAGATGAGTAGAAGGAAGGCCCCGATTCTGACAATAGAGGCAGGCAGTGGTCCGTTGGTTTGAGGAGGGTCGTGACTGAGGAGTGGCAAGAATAGAGTCCACATGATGAGTCTGGAGAGTACCAAGACGAGTCTCCTCAGATAATAACTCAGAAATAGCCTGTTCAAGAGTGGGCAATGGATGGCGATAAAGAAGAGAGACATGCACTGGCTCAAAAGAGGGAGTGAGAGCCACGAGAAAGTGAACCAACCACTGCTGATTACGATAAGTAGTAAATAAAGCAGCATCTTCAAGGTGAGGCCATGCCAGTTCTGAGAGAGCAAGCTGGTCCCAAACAAAATACATTTGAGAGAGAAAGTCATTAATAGACTGACTGGTTTCTTGACGCATGCGGTGGAGTTGACTTTGAAGTTGATACTGATGGGCAAGACCGGTAGTCTGGTAACGATCTCGCAAAAAATCCCAAATAGCTTTAGAAGGATTCGGAATAGAGTTAAGTTGAAAACGGCCAAACTGGAGACAAATAGAGGGAACAGAGGTATTTCGAAGCCAAGTAATGATCTGGTAGTTTTTATTGTCCCAGTCTTCGAGTCGGTCTTCATATTTGGCAGTAGTTTCAACATCTTCTTTGACCGGTTTGGTTACATCCCCGGTAATAATACGCCAAAGTTTCCGTCCTTTGAGAAAAAAAGACATGGCTTGGGCCCACAGTACATAATTGGAACCATTACGTAGAATAGAAATTGGATGGGAGGCATCATGGCGATCCATAATAAAAATGGAGTAGAGCGAAATAAATAGGAACAGGCCTGTAGGAGCAAAATTTGGTAAAACAGAGTATACCAATGAGTCCGGAAGGTTGAAAATAGCGGGGACAGGGTCCGCTGATGTCAGCAGAGGGCCAGATGATGTCAGCAACGCACAAAAGCAGCCAGAGAAGCGGTGTACAACAGCAGGGACGGCGGGCGGTGCACGATAGCCGAACGGCGCACGCGCGGCGTAAGGGAGCAGAGTGGCGTACGCGGGCGCACAATAGCCGAATGGCACAAGAGAGCAGACTGGCACACGAAGGCGCACAATAGCAAGACGGCGTACGCGGCGCGCACAGCAGCAGGTGCGGCGCACGCAAAGGGTAGAGCTGACGTTAGGGATGATGTGAACACACAAGGGAAGGCGCGTGAGAGCACGTGTGAGAGTGGTGGCGGAAGCAGAGACACGCCGAACACAGAAGTGGCGCGTGACGGATTTTCTGGTAACGTGGGTGGTGCCGTTGGAATCGTGAGAAAATTCCGAGCAAGTTGGTATGAAGATACAATGGTTTGGAAGTAGTTCTGTAGTGCCACTGTATAAGGGACTAAGAACACGGATAAAATAAACTCAGCTCTAATACCATGTTAATTTGGTAGAGAGAGAGAGAGAGAGAGACTGAATAACTTGTATTGTATTATGTTCAGTAGTTACAAATAGCAGAGCACTCTCATTTATAGAGAGGCAAATGTGGTACAGTGGACATAGGATGCTAACCCACTAACACTGAAAGCAGAAAGTATAGTAGGACATATGACAGCTAGATACATTATGTTACAATATTATATTACACAAACACTAACAGTACCATAATCTAGTAACATTAGACTTAATAGAATGATATCGATTACCAACGTGAGTGACTGGGGTGACGTTTTGGGGTCCCAAACATTCCAATAGGTATCAAACTCCACCACGACAAATGGGCTAGCGGTGTTCGCTGTTGACGTGAATGCCTTCAGAGGAGATGCAAGCGTCTTCGTCGATTGTTATGTGGACATTAGGATGTTGGGAACCGATGTTGTTTAGGTTGAAGCTCAGTGCAGGTGCCCAAGGAACTGCAACAAAGAAGTAAAATGTAAAAATTGAGTGACAATAAAGAAGAATATGTGATTGGAAGGCCATTGTTGTGATGGGAAAATTTTATGGAATTAGAAGTATGTAACTGGCATATAAATAGTTGTTCCAAAATCTTGTGATATGTTGATTTATTCGGGTCTTTTTGCACTTTTCATTTAACTGTTGATGATTTTTTTTCCGCCATGTTCTTAATTTCACCAACTCTTTCTCTCTCTCTGTCCATTCTTTTCCTATCCCATGATCGCTAAGCTATTCTACTCCTTTTTTTAATTCAAAGAAAGACTATGAACTCAAAAAACTAAAATAAAAAATTATTTAAAAATTTAAATATACAATATAAATTTAAATTTCTTGTTGTGATTCATAAATGAATCTTGACCTTGAGAATATAAATTCTAGACAAATTTTTGGCATGTTTAATTTTTATTCCCAACAATCCAAAGTACTATGTAGTAAAAGCCCCACATTTGCTAAGGTCGCTATTGGTTATTTATTAGTCAACTAAAAAAGGTCTCCCCCACGCTAAGCTAAGGTGGCTTTTTCTATGTTAGCTATGACGCAACTTTGGTGTCCATCTTATGCATATAACTTTTGGATAAAAGGGGTAGGCAACAGAAAGGCAAACCCAAAAAAAAAAAAAATTTTGGCATTTGGAATTGCATAAAATTTGGTGGTCAATTTCGTGAATTTGTTGTTTTTTTTAAAGTTTTGAAATTTCAATCTCGGAATCTAATTCTATAAAATCTACCATGATTTTGGAAGCATATATTAGTAATTTCTTTATTTTATTTCAGTATTTTTATTTTTGATAATTCTTGTTATATTTTCTTATTTTTGTATTGCTCATTATGAAACTATCAATTCTGATTGTTTCATTTTAAGTTAGGTCGGTTTTTACTTATAAATAATGGATGTAAACTTTAGGGCTCTTTAAATTTTGAAAATTAATATATTTTGAGTTTTATACTATTTTATTCCAACCTTTGATGTCTTTGTGAATCAATCATTGTTGAGCTTTATTCTTAATATTCATTGTGAATCAACGAGTCTATAAAGAAATGTTGTTTCTGATATTGAGTTTTCAATCAATAAATTCTAAAATTGTTACTATTTCATATTTCGCGTTGCATCACTTTTGTTGACGTAAATAAATAAATATTTATTGATAAAAAAAAATATTTACTAAAAATCCCTCAAATAAGTTGTATCTTGTGAGAAATCTAATTCAAACAAATTTAATGCTTAAGGTTCTTTTATTACAGCAGACGTCACCTCACTTGGGCTATAACCGGGGAAATTTATGTACTTATCATTTAATTGATGAATTTTTTTGGTTGCCGCTGCCACCGGGGTTTTTAATTTCACCACCTCCTCTTTCTATGTGTCCATTCCTCTCCTAACCCTCTGAGAGGGTAATTTATACTTATAAATTGGGTCGAGCTGGGTAATAGGCCGTTATGGGTCACGTTGCGAAGAACTGGATAAAAAGGCCATAAAGTTACTCCGGCCCAAGAGAGGCCATGAAGTTACTTTGGCCCAAGAGAGGTGTAAAGTTACTCCGGCCCAAGAGAGGTATAAAGTTACTCCGGTCCGAAAGAATCTTGAGGTTACTCCGGTCTAAAGGAAGCTTTGAACATAGCCCGGTTGCCGTACTCAAAGTTAGCTCGGTCATTGGCTTATCGAGGTTATCTCGGCCAGAACCTTGCTGTTTGATAGCTCGGTCTGATCACACCGTGGTTGGCGCTAGGAGAAACCTGGGTAAGAGTAATGAATGGAAGAGCTGAACTAAAGTTAGCTCGGTCTAGTCTGCGGCTTAGCATAAGCCATGCTTACCTCGGTCATAGTGGAGTCCGACCATGGTAAAACCATCTCACTTGGTTTAAGCAGTGATGAGGGTGTTGAAGGATAAGCATTATCTTTCAGGAGTATAAATCCTAGGAGGACTCTACATGGAGGAGTAAGAGTCCTACTTGGATTGTGCCACACGGAACCTATAAAAGCTCACAAATATCACCTATGGGGAGGTAACACAACTTTGATTCCTGAATACACAGAGCTTTTGTCTACTTGTCTATTTTGCTGACTTAGGCATCGGAGGGGTCTCCGGCACACACCCGCCGGCTAGCTCACGTTTGTGTTTTCAGGAAGTAAAGCGACGACGTTTGGAGAAGCGCAGACTTGATCAACAGGATTATACGAGAAGGTTTATTTCTTTCCCGTACACCCTCTAACCCGAAGTAATAAGAATTGAAATCCCCACACTTGCTATTGTGGCTATTGTTTGACTTATTAGTCAATTAAAATTTAAAATGTCTCTCCCCACACTAATTAAGCTGGCTTTGGTTGAATTAAAATTTTCCAGCCTCCTATGATCCCATTTTCTCAATTACCCTACACAATCCAACATTCTGATAAAATATTACAAAATCGTATTATAAGATGGATCGATAACATATTATTCCAAATAAAAATGTATATACTTCCAAGGAGTAACAATTATTCCAATTATTCACTAATTGCTGGTAAATATCTTATTCAAAGTCCAAGATTATCTGATGCCCTCGGAGTTGTAACATATACTTTGTTTTTCTCAAATTTAAAAACCCAAATTTAATTTCCATGACTTAATAATATTTTTTTCAAAACATGCACCAATTGCAGCTGAGAAGCCGAATGCAAACCATTCTGACAAATAGTCCCTTAGATCAACCCGGAAAGAAAGATCTTGTCGGAATATGACATTATTGATAGAACTAGTGACAACAACACTCAATTTTTTTTGTCTTAGAGCGATAACTAATCACAGCTTCATTTTCTATCTCATGAGTTATGTCATTGTATCATACTTTAGTCACATTAGACTTAAATAGAGTTGATATTGATACCAAGATGAGTAACAGGGGTGATACTTTGTGGATCCCAAGAATTCTAAAAGTTATCAAACTCCACAGCGACAAATGGACTAGGGGTTTCCAATGTCGATATATCGATTGGAAGCCCAATGGCACCGCCCGTAGTGGTGCCTGCGGTGTTGCTGGGATCCCAAGGTTCAAGGAAGAATGCAAGCCCATCTCCGAAAATTGAACTTCCATCCGAATCCATCAGGAAGGAGAAATAGGTGGTGAAGTCCGTCAACTTGCCGGAAAAACTGTTCCAGAGGTGAAGTGGTTTGAAGTAGGTAGCTTTGCCGGCTCTATAATTTAAGTTGGTATCATACTTGTCCGCCGTGAGGTGGATGCCATTGGAGGAGATGTAAGCGTCTCCATAGGTGGTTAGGTCGACGTTGAGATTTTTGGGACCGATTTTGGCGATATTAAAGTTTAGTGCAGTTGCATAAGAAGTTGCCAGAAGATTGTAAAATGTGATAATTGAGAGACAAGAAAGTTGAATGTGTGATTGGAAAGCCATTGCTGGGATGGGATGAGGAAAAGTGTATTCAATTTGGGGTATAACTAGGTACATCATTGTTTGAAATTTTGTGATTTGGTCAAAGTGGGTGTTCCCTGTTTTAGAAAGAGGAAGAAGGTGTGATCATCTAATCCATGCACGTTGACAACTGTCCTATCAACCCCTTGTTTTGTTATACAGATGTTTGGATAAATTACACTGACATCGTTGAGGTTGGCTCTTAATGCTGATCCTTTGGAACTTTTGGCAGCGTTTGGTTAGTGTTTGGAATTAACATTCCAACACAAAATTTTCAAAACACATTATAATATTCATAATTAAACACACAATTAAACTCAATTTAAAAATTAATTTTAAATCTCATAATTAAACATATAACTCAAAACTCAATACAAAATTCTTTTCAAAACTCTATTTTAAAATATATATATATATATATATATTTTATTTGAAATGTAGACAAGTAATGAATAACAAAAAATAAAAATTAATTAAAAAAACTACTTCACAACTTATTTAGCAAACACTACTCAGTAACTTAAATCAATAATTCAATAGTTACACCAAACAGATTAACAGTTTTTGATTAAAGTCATAATTTATAATCTATTTTAATAGTTATACCAAACGGGGCCTATGTCACAACTTTTTTTTAGTTTACTCTTAAAGTTAATTTATGTTCAAAATTGGACAAAAAAATGTCATAATAACTGTCACATAACATAAAAAATATATTATTATACTGATATTTAAGTTTATGTCAGACATGTGAGTTATATAAAATAAAATAGTTTTATATCATGTGACTGTCAATGTATTTTTTTGGTCTAATTTTTAATAGAAATTAGTTTTAAAAGTAAACTGAAAAAAAAAACTTGAAATATGAAGAGCCGAAGTGGGAAAAAATAAATTTTAAAGGCTAAAGTCAAAAAGTGACCAAACATAATGAAGGCAAAGTGTAATTTATCCAAAATTATATACAATAATCATTTATTTTATTATTTAATGCGGCACATTACATCTTTAAAATAGGCGTGAGAGAATTTGAAGGGCTCGTAGAATCTATTATGATTCTCATTTCGATAATCTGAACCGTTCATTTTGTAGAATTCTCAATTTATATCATTCATGAAAAAATTTATATTGATTTAATAATCATAACTTTTTTTAATTTTATGTAGAAAGTTTTTTCTTTAACCTCTTTATCCCGAGGTGCTCTTATTTAATAAAATTTTCATTTTACTAATCTAAAAAAACAAGTATTGTGTTTTGTATGTAACTTTGGCAACTCAACATGAACAGCCACCAGCATTTCCACGAGCTTGGATTGTAAATTGGTTTGATGAGCACATTGCCAAGATCTCATACTAATTATCGATATCATTACAACTTGTTTGAATTTTTGACCTGAAAATAATAAAAAATAAAACTGAAGAAGAAAATAAAACAAAAAAGATAAGAAACCCAAACAAACTTGGAAATTAATTAATTATTTTTTTTACATTGATAACGAGAGATATATTGCACGGGGGAGGGTTCGCAACAATTAAAGCTAACCATGCAAAGAAAAATGAAAAATCTAAGTAGCACAAATCTTGTTAATTATGTATATATTAATAATAGCTACCACTCTCACTTACGTAACGTAACAAATTTAATAGCAAGCAACATGTGACATGACACCTTAATTGTGATGTCCCAGGTATTGGACTTAAATAGTATTGTGTAGTAAAGCAGTGTGCATTGCTTTCGGGATTTTGTTTATCGTATTGAGTCGTGTAATTTCCTTTCCTACTCTTATTTAACCTATCGTAATGTTTCCGGGTTGAAAACTTTGAGCTTTGAGCATTGAAGCTTGTTTTGGATTGAAAAATCAAACTCTGGGTTCAGGGCAAAAACCACTCGTGTGGATTTGGCAACCGCTCGAGCGGATCAACACAGGGTTTTCTAGGTTTCTGGGTAGGAAATGGCATCAGCAAATTAGTAAACAAACATGACCTTAGAGTTTTGGAGTTTGGAATAATTTAATTTTTTGAATTTTTATTTATTTTTTATTTTTTATAATTGAATAGATGGATGAGAAAGAAAAAATAACTGATTGATGTGTAGGATGTGGGAGAATGAGAAAAGAGAAAAAAAATAATTAATTGATGGGCAAAGAAAAGTGATTTTTAAATTTTTTTTTCAAAATTTTTTAACCAAACAATTTTTTGAGATTTTTTTTCTCTAAAATTGTATCTCTAGATACAAATCAAACAAGTTGCTCAATCCACACTTTTTATTCCAAATATGCCCTAATTGTAAAATTGTAAACACATCTTATACACACCCAAAACGTAGTGCACACACTCAAATCCTAAACAATGTACACACTCAAAAATGGTGCTGTTACTATCACAAAAAAAAAAAACAAAAAACAAAAAAAAACATGGTGCCGTTTGTACATATCGTTGAAGGTTGAAAACGTGCAGCTTGTTTTTAATTCAATCTTCCCTATTGTAGCACTCCCACTACAAGAATTAACACATTTGCCGACCAAAAAATTGGTCGCTAAAAGTCCATTTTTGGTCGGCAAAACATATTCCCGACCAATTTTTTTGGTCGCCAATTGAGGGTCGTGGAAAGTGATTAGCGACTTAAAAAATTTTTAGTCGGCAAAACGTTCTATTTGGCGACTAAATTGTTGGTCGCTAAACATATAATTATCGCGACTAACCTATTTAGTCGCGAAAAGACTTTGGTCGGCAAAAATTACATTCAACAACCATACATGTTAGTCGCTAATTTGGTCGGCAAAAATTACTTTCAACGACCAACAAAATTAGTCGGCAAAAATTACATTCCACGACCAAAACTTCTCCGTCGCTAAATAATAGTTTCTACGACCAAAAAATTTGGTCGCCATTTGTTACTTTTCGCGACCAAAACTTTTGGTCGGCAAAAGTGAGATTCCACGACCAAATGTTGTTTTGGTCGGCAATAGATGTATTTTTTGCGACCAAAACTCTTGGTCAGCAATTGTCATTTTTTGTAAAAAAAAATTATTTATTTGTCGCGACTAATAAATTGGTCACCAAAAGCAAGAAAACAATACACCTGTAATTCCTAATAATTCATTCAATCCATAATAAACCTATAATTTTAAAGCATCATTCAAACCAACTGAATCATTAACATTCGACACAATACATAATTCATTAACATTCGACAAAATACAACTATTCTAAGTTTTCATTCACAAGTCACATCCATCTAGCATAACAATTTGAAACATAACTATTTGTTATCCATACGCTGCTATCAACAAATAAAACTACTAATACTTGTTATCCATACACATCCATCCAAAAATATTTAATCCTCCCAAAAATGCTTATACTGCCAAGTAGTCTTGTACAATTTAGCTTCGTGCACGAGATCATCCATCATCCATCTATACCAAAGAAAATGAGAAATAATGTTAGGTTTGTTTTTGATGAAAATATTTGAAATGGGTAATTAAATTATCAATTTCAGAGAATCGAAAGTTCAAATCAAAATGTCTAACTCATTTGCAAGTAATTAAATTATCAATTTCAGAGTATAAGCTGCTAATTACAAATTTGAAATGGGTATTAACAGATTGGACAATAAGACTCATGTTTACACAGAGAAAAATGCAAGGTTCATATATGGTCATGGCAAACACAATCAAGCTTGACAAGCACAGACAGACATAGAAGACTACTACAGTGTTGAAAACAATCTTCCTCTTATTTATGGTTTTCTCTGTTTTTTTGTTTTTTTTCTTTTCTTTTTCTTTGTTTATGGTTTATTTGTTTCTCCTTATGTAGTTACTTCAAAGGAATGATCCTGAAAAGTTTGTGAACCTCGGAATCGACCCTCCTAAGGGTGTTCTATGCTATGGTCCACCTGGTACTGGTAAGACTTTTAGCTAGAGCTATGGCTAATAGAACTGATGCGTGTTTCATCCGTGTTATTGGAAGTGAACTTGTTAAGAAATATGTTGAGGAGGGTGCCCGTCTAGTTCGTGAACTATTTCAGATGGCACATTCCAAAAAATCTTGTATCGTGTTTTTTGATGAACTAGATGCCATAGGAGGTGCACGTTTTGATGATGGTGTGGGTGGAGACAATGAGGTTCAGCGCACTATGCTTGAAATTGTGAATCAGCTTGATGGATTTGATGCTCGAGGGAACATCAAAGTACTGATGGCATCAAATCAACCAGACACTCTAAACCCTTCTATTACTAGTGGATCCGTGGTTGGTGCTATTTGATTATATAGTCCATCAAATGTATCATCATGACAGTTTGAGATTTGCAATAGCTTTGTTGTGCCAAAAAAATAAAAAATAAATTGTCTAATTTTTTATGTGCCACCACCAAGGTCGAACACAAGGATGTTCTTCTCACCACCTTTACTGTCGAATCCATAGGCAATAGCTGCAGTAGATGGTCCATTTAAAATTCTAGCAACATTGAGCCCAGCAATAATACCAGCATCCTTGGTAGCTTGCCTTTGGGCATCATTAAAGTAGGCTACAGGTTGCAAAAAAAAAGTAAAAGGGAGTACCACAACATCCTTGGAAGAGTGGAGAATAATAGTAGTAATTTAGAAGAGTTCTACTCACCAACAACTGTGACAACAGCATCCTTAATTGAATTTCTTCCCAAGGAATGCCTCATAGTCTCCTTTATCTTAATTAGAATCATAGCACTGACCTTCTTAAGGCTAAATACCTTGGGCTTTGCATCCTTAATCTTAACTTCAATACAAGGCTTTCCATCTTTATTCACAATTTTGTGTGGAACAAGCTTCATATCCCTTTGGACTGTTATTTTGTAATTTTAAAATTGTATTTGATTTATTTAATTTATTTTATTTGATATTTGCATTTTTTTAGGAATAAATTTATAACGTTATATTAGTTTCCTAGTTTTTTGGATTATCCTACAATATCTCCTAAGTATCTAAATTATGGTTATTTAAAGACAC